CTGCAGCGGCACCTGGCCACCCATGCGGGCACCGGGGACCTGGCATCCGGGCAGGCCGAGCCCCCCCAAGAGTGCCTGGAGTGCGGGAAGAGCTTCAGCCGCAGCTGCAACCTGCTGCGTCACATGCTGGTGCACACAGGGGCCAGGCCCTACTCCTGCACACAGTGTGGCCGCAGCTTTAGCCGCAACTCCCACCTGATTCGCCACCTGAGAACCCACTCCCGGGAGACCCTGTACTAGCAGGCTTGCCCTGCAGGCCTCTCCCTGGCCTCCTGGCAGCCCGGGCCTGCAGGGGAGGTCCTGGCTTCACCCTCCCTGGCCCGGCCCACACCACCTACCTCTGGCGCAGGTGAACCCTGCGTTAGCTCTTCCCTTCCCCGGAAGCATCTCTTCCTGGCCTCAGGCATGTATTTGAAAATGCCCAAAGTGAAAAGCCTTTAAAAACAATCATTTTGTACTGAAGCATTAATTTTACAAAATGTGGCATAAAGGTGAACTAAATGTACAACTTAAATTGTTCATATAAATTGTCTTCAAAATATATTACACCTAAGAGGGTTATAAGATTTTATATGCATTTTGGGAGAAATCACCCGGAAGCAGCTGCTTTTTCAATAAACGTGTCCAGTTTCACGCCTCTTTTGGTCAGTCCACGACAGCCGTGTGAGGTGAGAGTGATCAGGACTTTCTTGTATACACTGAACCATTCCCAGTGACTTATTTTTTCTGCTTGTAGGGCAACTTGAGACAGAAAACCAAATGCCTGATGGAAATTTTTGAAGAACTGTTTGTGGATGGCATCTCCCATTTAATTCTGACCCTCCTGCTGCTTTAAGGTCAAGCATATCTTGGTTCCTCTCCTCTGCTGTCAACAGGGTGCCTCTGTCCACAAGGCCACAGGCATGGGACTTGAACCCCACAGCAGGCACAGCAATGCCCCCAGTGTCTGTGCTGCCCCATGGCCACCACAGAGGCCTGCCCTAAAACAACCTTCCTCTTTCTTCTTTTTTTTTAAATCCTCACCCGAGGATATTTTTTTATTGATTTTTAGAGAGAGGGGAAAACAGAAATATCGATGTGAGAGAAACACATCTATTGGTTGCCTCCTGCATGTGCCCCGACCAGGGCCCAGGCCAGGGAGGAGCTTCAAGCATGGTACGTGCTCTTGACCAGAATAAAAGCCAGGAACCTTCAGTCTACGGGCCAAAGCTCTACCCACTGAGCCAAACTGGCAAGGGCTCCTCTTTCTTTTTTTACATTTACCCTAAAGACACCTATCACCCTCCTGACTGTCACACTGGTGGCTTTCTCCCTCCCCACCAATCCCAGAAAGGCCCGGAGTGGGGTGAGTGTGAGAGGAGGTGGCTCTGTCACAGCCAGCCGTGGGCAGGGACAAGGAACCTCACCCTGGATTTCTCCTCTGGAGTGGACCGTAGTCTGTGCTGTCCGATACAGTATCCTCTAGCCACAGGTGGCTCTTTAAACTAATTAAGATTGAATAAAATTTAAAGTCCCAGTTTCTGGATGATTATGGGAAACTGTTTGGGAATGTTCGTAACTAATTCAAATGGGAAATGCCAGCAGGTGAAACGAAACCTGCCTGCAGCTAAGTCAGGTTATCAGCTGGGGGCCCCTAACCACTTATAATCCTCTAAACCAGTGGTTGTCAACCTTCCTCATTCCACGACCCCTTAATACAGTTCCTCATGTTGTGCTGACCCCGATATCATTGTTACAAATTGAACATAATTAAAGCATAGTGATTAATCACAAAAACAATATGTAATTATATATGTGTTTTCCGATGGTCTTAGGTGACCCCTGTGAAAGGGTCCTTCGACCGTCAAAGGGGTCGCGACCCACAGGTTGAGAACCGCTGCTCTAAACCCAAAGCTGGATTGTCAGTGTGCCCCCACCTTCTTTTTCCTACCCATCAGGCATTCTTGGCCTGTCTCCCCTCCCATGGACAGGTTTTTTTTACTTGAATTTTTTAGAGAAAGGAAGGGAGAGAGAGAAAAACATGGATATGAAAGAGAACCATTGATTGGTTGCCTTCCACCCGCACCCTGACTAGGGATTGAACCCACAACCCAGGTATGTGCCTTGACCAGGTGTGCGTGGCTGTTAGATCTGATGGAATAATTGAATGGAGACCCTCCCCTGGGAGCTGGCCTTCAGGCCACAACAGACATTCCCTTTGGCTTAGCACTTGCTGAGACCACATTCTGCTTGCTAAGACCATTATCTTTCCCCTCAGGATCCGCCCAGAGAATTCTCCACCCAGAAAATGCCCGCCTAGAGTCCTTTAGAATCACTGACTCCCAGTCCTTGGGTGCTGGTGCCATTTTGGGGCTCAGCTCATCTGGTTTCCCAATGACCTAATAAATTCATAATTCTTTACCCCTTTGGGCCTCGTGCGTTCCTCCTTCGGTGACCCTAACAGTGACAATGGTCCAGCCAACTCCAGCCAGGACTTTTTTTATTTGAGAGAGACAAAGGGAGAGATAAACATGGATTTGTTGTTCCACTTATTTAGGCATTCGTTGGTTCGATCAGCTGCCTCCTGCACACCCTCTACTGGGGATGTGCCCGCAACCAAGGTACATGCCCTTGACTGGAATCAACCCTGGGACTCTTCAGTCCCCAGGCCGATGCTCTATCCACTGAGCCAAACCGGCTAGGCCTGGGCAGTTTTCTTTGTGTGTGTTGTTTGTCTTGTTTTTTAGTTAAGCTGACACTTGTACTTAATGAGTGTTAAAATTCATCATTAACTGGCTACTAGAACTTAATATCTGTTACAATACTGGTAGTTTTCTCTTAATCAGGAATAAAACAAAAAACAGAAGAGAAAAATATTTGGTCAAAAGAGAGACAATTGGATAAATGTCTACTTGTGACCAGAAGTGTCTAGGCCAGCGATTTTCAATGGGTGTGCTGCAAGAAGTTTTACA